AAAACTCAACCCTGAAAAAGATAAAGATAACTACTAATGGTACCAGGGCTTGATAGAAACAAGGTTAATCTGGGAAAGGCAATACAGGAAGTCTACATGAACATTTTATTTACCTGTTTATCTAAGTATCCTTTACCCTCTGGGTCAGCCAAATCCCATATCTGTGGAGATACAAAATAAAAGCTGCTGTGAATTTCAAAGAAAACTCAGCTCAACAGTTCCTACTGTATGTCTTAAAGTGTTCATTCAGCTTTCAAGTAATGACAAACAATGTTACTGAATTGTCGAGTTAACAACAAAAATGTTACACAAAAACCAAATTTTCTTTTTAAATTTTTCCTTTCACTAGAAGTGTAAAGACAAGCACTGCTTTATCCAATTCCTTCAACTTACTTTTCCAAGGATGATATCAGAGAGACCAGATTTTTTAAGAAACAGAGCAGCTTCACTTGCCCCAACTCTCCCTGTGTATGTTGGATCTACCTGAAAGAGAAAAATGAACATTTAATTGAAACATGGCTGTTGTGAATGCAGATTTAAGAAATGCAATCTTGCCTCTAGGTCAAAAGGAGTTACAGAAACTGCATCACCACTCAGAATTCACACAGTTTTAGCACTGCAATGGGGAAATGAAAGAGAAGGAAATCTTGGGGAAGAAGAAACTGCACTTTATTTTTTACTTCTTGTAAAGAACATACCTGTTTGTAATAGGTTTCATATATTGGATTCCCCGTAGAAAACTGAAACACAAGTTAGAAAACAGAATAAAAAACAATCAGAATTGACAGGAAAAGAAATGTATAGCACTTTGTGCATCACTTTTATTGAGAACCAAAAATAGTGTGTTAATTTGCTGTGTTACAAAAGGGACACCTGAAATTAAAGTGTGGATAACAGTGATCCACCAAGACCACAGACCACTGCCATCTCTCAGAACTTCTCATTCATCAGGATTCCCACCTCTCCTCAGTTTTACTTAGTGACCCTACACAGGGATAAGGTTTTGAAGAACAGCTTTGAATTATTTGCTGAAGTATTTCAGATCTCAGTATGAGAGGGACTGATAACAAAGATCCAGCTTTCAACACAATGCTTATCTAACTCCCTACTGCAGCATTTACATCCTTCTAGAACATTTTCAGCAGACAATTATACACACACAGTGCCTGTGGTAACTCATTTTCAAGACTGGGATCTTAAACTGAAATGGAGTGAAGAAAAAAAACAAACCAACCAAAAAAAAAAAAAAAAAACAAACAAATATATATATATTAAATGAATGGCAAATTAACAACTTTCACAATTCCCTGACAATGCTTTTGGAGGATTTCAACTTGGTGTAACCACTGCAGCCCTGCCTTTTCAGTGTCCTAAACAAGCAGATCCCAGTTCCTCTTGCTGACATTCCAAGCAAATGGCAGCTGGAATGCCAAAAGATGCAGTAAAAGCCCCAAAACCCATTTTCTCACACATCTCCTACCGTTGCCATGGGAGTTCTAACCCTGGGCAGGTTATCCCACCCTGCTCTCCTCAGCCTCAATGCCAACAGCAAAACCAATCTGGTCAAAGCCAGCTCAGTCCTTCGAGCACTCAGAGGCCTTAAAAAGAAAGCAACAAACCAACTCAACAAAGATGGGAATGAGCAAAACACAGAGATGTCACAAAAGCTGCCTGGGATAAGCACTCTGCACCTCCAGGACAGCAGTCAGGCACCTGAAAAGGAGAATTTCACACCAAACCCCACCACTGCTGTGTCCCCTCCCAAATGCCACCTTCTTCCTTGTTATCCTCAGGGATTTCCAGATGTTCTGCTCACTCTGAGAGGAAGGAAGGCAGGAACATAATGAAAGAGAAAATTTTATTTTACACCAAGAGAACCTTCTTGTGTACAATAAACAGGCTAAACCCTCATTTAAGGAGCTATCCATTATAACTGAGCAGAGCACAGGCAAACACTGACTCTTTAAAGATTACAGCTCTACTTGAATAGAAAAATCCTGCATTTTCAGAACAGTTTCCTAAGCATCTTAAAAGTGCTTCACTTATATCCATCAACAAAATAATCTGCTGCATTTTCCAGCACCAGCACCCTGTGGAAGCTCTCGCTCTCCCTGATGGCAGACAGGATTTCAGGAGGATGCTGCAAACATCACTCATAAATCTGACTGTTCTTTGTGCTGGCATGTAAACCATCAGCACACATAAGCATTGTGTTCCTGCCCAAGCAGGAAACACATCACTCAGAGAAAAGGTGGAAGTAGGAAATAGCCTGTTCCACTCTGAATAAAACCATGTTTTCAGCCAACCATCACCAAACTATGCACCTCTTGTTTATCAGAAAGCTCAGACAAGAGTCAACCACCAACTACAAGCTCCTCTAAGTGATGCAGTGAGTGACCTAGAGCATGCAGAGACTGGACTGGCACCAAGATACACAGCAAACTGCTCCAGCAGCAGGACTGAACGATCTCATCCCATCACCAGCCACTCCTGTCACCCCCATTTGATATTGTCAGCCACGACATGGAGCTGCCTCACCTGGCAGAGGTGGCAGGAAGCCAGGGTGATGTGCTTCAATGCCGTGAAATTTCTTCTACAGTAAATTATTCACCCAAGCGCTGCTGAAAAGCACCTCAAGATCAATTCTCGACTTGGAGAATTTTAAAAAGATTCAGCCTTTCTGAGCGATTTACCTAAACGACTGCATCTCTGTGATGAAGCAGACCAGACAAAATGGGTTCAAGTGATAAAAATAGCAGAGCTCTCTATCTGTGGGATCTCAGCACCTCAG